AAGGAGTTTAGTCCCCTAAACTCATACCTCAATCTTGGAAGAGGTGTGGATGTTCCTGCCTCATCTTGGATTCCAACTCCCAAGTAGCTTCTTCATCCGAATGGTTATCCCAGAGGACCTTAACAAAACGAATGGTCCTTTTCCGCATTATCCTCTCCTTGAAATCTAAAATACGGATTGGGTGCTCGTCATAAGTGAGATCATCCCGCAGTTGAATTGGTTCAAGATTAATGATGTGACTCAGGTCGGGAACATACTTCCGAAGTAAGGACACGTGAAACACATCATGAACACCCGCTAAATTTCCAAGCAACTCCAATCTATAAGCTACCTCGCCAATCCTTTCCAAGATAGGATATGGTCCAATATACCTCGGACTCAATTTTCCCTGGATGCCAAACCTAAGGACACCTCGAATGGGTGACACCTTCAAAAATACATGGTCACCAACTTCAAACTCAAGGTCTCGTCTCCTTCTATCTGCATAGCTTTTTTGCCTGCTTTGTGCAGCACGAAGGCATTCCTTGATCAACTACACAATCTCAGAAGATTGTTGCACCAATTCTGGGCCTAAAATGCTTCTTTCACCCACCTCCGTCCAACAAATAGGTGACCTACACCTTCGACCATACAAAGCCTCAAATGGCGCCATGCGGATGCTGGATTGATAACTATTATTATATGCAAATTCAGCCATGGATAAGTGTTGATCCCACGAACCCTTCCAATCTAAAACACAAGCCCTTAACATGTCCTCAAGTATCTGAATAGTTCTCTCAGATTGCCCATCAGTTTGAGGATGAAAGGCCGTGCTGAAATTTAATTGAGTACCAAGTGCCTGTTGCAAGCTTGTCCAGAAATGAGATAAAAATCTGGTATCTCTATCTGACACAATAGACACAGGGACTCCATGCAGTTTGACTATCTCATTCATGTACATATTGGTAAGTTTCTCAATGGAGGTGCCAATCCGGTAAGGTAAGAAGTGAGCTGATTTGGTCAATCGATCAACGATGACCCAGATGGAATCATTACCTTTCAAGGTTCGTGGTAAGCCCGTCACAAAGTCCATGGTGATGTTCTCCCACTTCCACTGGGGAATAGGTAAAGGCTGCAGTTTCCCAAGAAGTCTCTGGTGTTCAACCTTGACTTTCTGGCAAGTCAGGCATTGTGAGACAAATCTAGCTATCTCCCTCTTCATGTTCCGCCACCAAAATGTACCACGCAAATCACGATACATCTTAGTGCTACCTGGGTGAATTGTATAGCTAGTATAATGGGCATCTCCCATAATCTCACGCCTTAAAGCATGATCTCTTGGTACACACAGCTTGTCACCAAACCACAGAATCTCATCATTAGAAATTCTGAATTCTTGCATGTGGGGTTCCCCGGCTTTTACTTTTTCCTTCATCCTCTGCAAGAAAGGATCTTTCTGCTGGGCAAGTTTAATTCTATCTATTAATGTTGGCTGTGCACTAAGAACAGCTAGATAAGCTGTAGTACTGTCCACTCTCAACTCCACATCCAGTTTCACAAGATCCTCAAGTAACTCCTTCTGAGTGGCAAGGACGCTAGAGGCAGTGCTAGAGGACTTCCTACTCAACGCATCTGCTACTTTGTTAGCTTTGCCCGGATGGTAGCTAATGGTCAATTCGTAGTCATTTAAAAGTTCAAGCCATCGCCTCTGCCTCATATTAAGCTCCTTTTGAGTGAAAATATACTTAAGGCTCTTGTGATCGGTGAAAATCTCACAAGTCTCACCGTATAATAATTCCTCCAGATCTTGAGTGCAAATATCACAGCTGCCAACTCCAGATCATGGGTAGGGTAATTTTCTTTATAAGGCTTTAACTGCCGGGAAGCATATGCAATAACCCTATCTTTTTGCATCAAGACACATCCCAAACCCTTTTAGAGGCATCACTATATATGGTGAATCCTTCCCCATTGATTGGGATGCAAGTACAAGAGCAGTGACCAACTTCTCCTTAAGGGTCAAAAAGCTCTTCTCACACTCTAGAGTCCACTCAAACTTGGTGTCTTTCCTGATAAGACGAGTCATTGGCAAAGCAATTCTAAAAAAATCCCCCACAAATCTGCGGTAATAACCAACCAATCCCAGAAAACTACGGATTTCTACGATACTATTCGGCCTTTTCCAATTCATCATGGCCTCAATTTTCTGGGGGTCAACAGAGATTCCATCCTTAGTCACAACGTGACCTAGGAATGCAACATTGTCTAGCCAAAATTCACACTTCTTAAATTTAGCAAACAGCCTCTCACTTCTCAATGTCTCGAGGACTGTCCTTAAGTGTTTTTCATGAAAAGCATGGCTAGAAGAATAGACCAAAATGTCGTCAATAAAGACAACCACAAACTTGTCTAGGTACTGGCTAAATACCCGATTCATCAACTCCATAAATCTGGCAAGGGCATTTGTTAAGCCAAAAGGCATAACTAGGAATTCATAATGACCATAACGGGTGCAAAAGGCAGTCTTCGACACATCATCGGGTTTAATCTTCAACGGGTGGTAACCAGATCGGAGATCAATCTTAGAAAACACCTGGGCACCCTTGAGCTGATCAAACAAGTCATCAATTCTAGGAAGGGGATACCGGTTCTTCACAGTCACCTTATTTAGTTCCCGGTAATCAATGCATAGTCTCATGCTCCCATCTTTCTTCTTAACAAACAACATTGGAGCTCCCCAAGGTGACACACTCGAGCGTATAAACCCTTTCTCAAGGAGTTCCCCCAGCTGAATCTTTAATTCCTTTAATTTTGCAGGAGCCATACGGTATGGTGTTTTGGGAATAGGTCCGGTGCCAGGAACAAGGTCAATAGCAAATTCAACCTCTCTATCCGGAGGTAAACCTGGGAGATCCTCCGGAAGTACATCTGGAAACTCACGCACCACCGGTATGTCTTCTAGTCTCGATGTCACACTACTAGCATCAGTAACGGAGACTAGGAAACCCTGGCAACCATTTACAAGATATTTCCGAGCCTACAAGGCAGATATTAGTATGGGTGGAGCAAAAGAACCATTGCCTTGGAAACTAAATTCTGGCTCACCAAGGATATTAAAAATTACCCATTTCCGTTGGCAATCTATAGAGGCAAAATGTTTTGACAACCAATCCATCCCCAAAATGATATCAAAATCAGAAAGATCTAAAACAAACAGGCTAACACCCAACTGTCTATCATCAATATAAATATTCACAGTTCTACACACATCTCTAGTAGTCATCACCCCTCCTAAAGGGGTGTCCACATGCAGTTCACAATCAGAGGTATCAACAGGCAAAGCTCGTTTCAAAACATAAGATCGAGCAATAAAGGAGTGCGATGCACCCAAATCAAATAAAACATGTGCAAAATCAGAGTTGACAGGCAAAGTACCCGTGATTACGTCAGTAGCCGCAGCTTCCTGATGGGTCATCACGTGAACTCTTGCCTGCTAGGCTTGGGCTTTTGCCTGTTGGGCTCTTGTCCTAACCCCAACATTCTGTTTCGGTGCCCCCTGATTGGTAGACCCCTGCTGAGATGTAGATTGAGTACTTTGAGTTTTAGGGTCTAGCAGCGGACATTTGCAATCTGATGTCCTTGCTTGCCACATTTGAAGCAAGCTTCAGTAACAAAGTAGCACTGATCATGGGTGTGCCCAACCTTCCCACAAAAGTGCCAACTAGGTGGAGTAGGGCGAGCACGTTGGGCCGTGGATGCCTGGCCCCCAGTCTGGGTGGCTCCTGCGCCTTTAAAACCCTTGCTGACATCAGGCTTAGGCGGTGCAAGGACAAAGGGCCTACGGCTCCTATCAAATTTTCTCTTCCCCAGGGATGACCCAACACCGTGCTGTTCTGAGGACTTGACCCTAGCCATAGCCTTCTCCTGGTCTATGGCTCTGTCCGCTGCCTCCCGATAAGTGGTGGGTTTAAATTGGTTTACCGCCAAATAAATATCGAAATTCAAGCCCCACAGAAATTTGTCGGCCTTGGCTTGCTCATCGCCAACTTGGCTACCCACAAAAGGCAGATAGCGGTCAAACTCCTCCTTGTACTGTTTAATAGTACCTGACCCTTGCTTTAAATCTGCAAATTCCCTTTGCAGTTCCCGCCTTTTGCTATTCGGTATGTACTCTTGCATGAATACCTTTTTGAAACCATCCCAGGTGCTCAATTCGGGCTCTCCTTGGTGTAGCTTCAGATAACTCTCCCACCAAGTTAATGCTTTCCCAGTAAGCATATAACTGCTTACGTTGACCTTAAGGTCATCAAAAACCTGCAGTAGGCGGAATCCCCGCTCCACCTCGGTGATCCACGATCCCACCTGCTCAAAACCTACAGTACCATCAAATCTCTTGGTCACCACCTTCTGGAATTCTGTATAGACCTTCTAGCTAGGCACAGCAGGAGCAGAAGAGATAGGAACAGGGGAAATTGGAGCAGGGGCCGTAGGAGTGGAGACCACCGGGGATGGAGGTGGCACACTTGTGGCAGGAGATACTTGGTGTCTTATCTCCGCCATAAGTTCTTGAACAAAGGTGGCCAATTGAGGATTGCTCGTCCTTCCCTCCTGCGGAGCAGCTTGGGTAGGTGGACTAGCAACTGGGATCGGAGGAGTGCCCTGATCCTTACGGCTACCCCTCGTGCGCCCACGCCGTTTCAGAGCCATCTATAACCACATAGAAAGTTTATAGACTATTAATCAAATGCTCCAATGAGAAATTTCCTGACGAGTTTCCACTTCTTGGACCAAGCAACACAAAATAAAATGAATAAAAATCTCACACATTAAGGAAAATCAACCAAGCGCCCTTAATCAACCCCACTCTCATGCCTCACCACGTTCCCCTAACTAATTTGCTAGCCAAATTCTAGACTAGCCTTAGGCTCTTAATTTAAACCTAGGCTCTGATACCACAAAATCTGTCACGCCCCAAACCCCGGAGCAAGACAGACCCGTACACTCGTGAACGAGGCCCACAAATGCACAAGGCTCGGAACTTACTGATTTCTTACTTAACAATTCAGATCTAATCCTTTTTATTTACCAAATATTTACCAGTAAAGATGTACAAAATTTATAACTTCATATATACGATCATGACTAAAACTAAGGAAGTTCTGTACACAAAAATTTTTAAGTCAAGCATGGGTGACTAACGGCCTAACTACAAAAATCTAAGTCCAAAATAATGCCTAGCCATCTGGCTTGTCACTCCCCCGAGCTCCCCATGCGTCGGGTCTCACTACCTGAAATGGTGGACAAGGAAAAACTATGAGATAAACTCAGTAAGTAAAATATGGAGTGCCCTTTATTAAACTTACAGCATGCCAACGTGTGCAATCACAAAAAACAGATACAGTATGGAAACGAAATAGACGTCTCCTCTATAGGTCATGGCCAGTGTTATAAACCACCCACTGGCAGGCGTTAGTAATTACCAATGTATTCGCCCATTGGCAGGCGCACTATTTGCTGGTGTATAACCCCCACTAGCAGGGTCATTCGAATGAACCGGTTTTATTACTAACATGTCGACATGTGCTAGCATTTAACCCCCACTAGCAGGGTCACTAATAACATGACCACATCAGAGACAACAGGCAAAAGTTAACAGAAAAATCATAATTCACCAATCACTTTCAAATCATCATGACAATCAATTAAATTTCAAGTAGGCATGCTCAATTTAATGAAAAGCATAAAAATTTCACTTTAAATCAGTCATACTTACTTTTGTATAAAACGGGTTTAGTCCCACCACCACTTCAAAAATAAATCAAAACATGATTTTAAAAACTGTACGGGCATTACCATAAATTTACTTACCTTAATTGCACAGGACAGAAGGCTTAACCAAAGTGCTAGGGTCACAGGACGATCAAGGAACTAATCACAATATTTCCGAATTAATATCTATAAAGAATAAAATTTCTTTATTTATTTTTTATTTTTCTTCTATCCGAAATTTGAGCACACAACATTAGATTGTGCATTTATATATATATATACATAGTGACACATATACAATTTTTCCAAATTCATGGACAAGAATTGGGAGAACCGGCTTTGACCAAAAAAAGGGCAAGTCGCGGAATTTTTCTCTTTTTCTTTCATACAACATCACAGCAGCCCAATTAAAGGATTTCCTACATAAATTGACTTAAAACTCATTGCAAGGCTGCCAAAATTCATCCCCCACTTCTAGCAGATTTTCAGACAACCCAAGCCAATTCATACAACCAATTAAACTCACAAAGCAGCAATTAATCAACCAATTTTTGGAAATTAGAGAAGCCAACCTACCAGAAATTCTCAGCAAACAAGGCTGGAGCTGGCGGGTATGGGGAAGAGCTGGCGGAAAAATTGGAGGGCTTCCACGGGACCGCTAGCAATTGAAAGAAATGAAGATTAGGGTGAACCCACATACATCAAGGCTGAAAAGAGGAAATTTATGGCTGATTTTTACCAGGAAAACCGAAGCTCACACCCAGCAGCAACCGGCGGCAAGGGAGGAAGAAGACAGCAGATCTGGAGAATTTTCTACAAGAGAGAAGATTTCTAAGTCCTAGACTTGTTCTTGAACAAGAGGAGAATAAAAATCATCAAGTTCTCTTACCAATTTTTCAGGTGGAGGCGTCGGAAATGGCTGGTTTATGTCCGGTTGCAGGGGAGAAAAGAGACAGAGCAGACACGCGAAAATGGCTGGGGAAGAAAGAAAGAAAGAAAGAAAGAAAGAAAAGAAAAAAGGAAAGGTCAGCTGGCCTCATCCAATAATCTTTTAAACCCTTTGGAATTTGAAATTTTGACTGTTAGATCCATTAATAACGTTTCCTCGCCATTAAGTCCCTAACTCAACTTTAATGTTCTTGAAATTTTTGGGGTATTACAATAGTTGTATGTGAACCACCTCTATGTCAAAGATTTTACTTCTTTCTATTCATTTTTAAGAGTTTTAATTTGATTTTTTAATTTTTTAGACATGAATTTTAAATAAAAATTTAACATATTATATAAATGATAGTTAAAATTTTTTTCATCAAATAAAAATACTTAATAAGAATTTTATGTATAAAGAAAAAAATTTCAATTATTATTCATATAAATTATTAAATTTTCATTTAAAATTCATATATGAAAATTCAAAAAATTAAATTAAATCTATTATTAATAAACAAAACGAGTAACAAATAATTTTAGGGATTTACTTATTATGTCAAAGATTTGTAAGTTACTGAAGTTGTACATTGTCAACATTTTTCATACTACATTTGCCCTTTTATGATGGAAGTATTCACAATACATACCAAGGACAATATTTTGAAAATCAGGAAGAGAAACAAATGTACAAGATTGTGGTCTCCGTTCCCCCATTGTTTTTCTTGGCTTTATGATTAGCACTAACATAGATGGGTATCAACCAGTCACCAAAAAAAACCAGTCACCAAGAAACTTTTGTTTATGGTATAGAGTTATGCAACAACTTCTTTCATCTCCATTCTTTCATCTGGATGAATCATTATTCCTCAAACTAAGTAACCATCTCTCATTGTGAATTGCAAATCCTACTTGGTCTATTAAGGTGTTGTAGACAACACTCATGCTACCACTAGCATCAAAGTACTCATGGTAATGAAATTTATCAAATGTTTCACCAAGCAAGTACTTTGCCTCTTCTGCATTCAATGCATCATTAACCCATGGATGCTTTGTCATACTTCTCAGTTCCTGTAATTTCATAGCCACTTCCTTCATTGTATGCCTTTCCTTCCCTTTCACACTCAAGCATCTCCTTGCAAGGTTGGCTAGCTCATTGAGCTGCTCAATGTTTGCTTCATTCACTACACAACCATCAAGAATTTTTCTCGAGCAATTATCTTTCTTCGTAGAAAGAAAATACATGGAAAGATTTCTTTCTTCCTCTGCCCTATCAAAGGAAAGTACCTTTTCTCCTATCAAAAGCTTAAGAAGGACGACTCCAAAGCTATAAACATCATTTTTCTCTGTTAATTGGCTTGTATATAAGTACTCAAGGTCCAAGTATCTAAGAGTTCCTTAAACAACTATAGATAATCCTACCTTGTCTTGTGGAACCAACCTTGAAGTACCAAAATCAAATACTTTTGCTGTGTAGCTATCATCTAAGAGAATGTTTGTAGACATTATATCTCTATGAATGATTGATGTAGAGGCTACAAAGTGCAAATATGATAGCACTGTAGCAATTTCTACTACTATCCTTAAGTGGATTTCCCAGGTCAATGATGAAGCCTTACTTTTATTGTGGATGTGATGGTGGAAGTGCCATTAGTAATGAATTCATAAACCAACAATGGAACCTTTGTCTTTAAGCAACAACCTAACAGCTTCACCACATTTCAGTGGTTGATTTGTGAAAGAACAACCACTTCATTTACGAATTGCTCATTCTGACTTTGATTAATAATGTGGACTTCTTGATTGCAACAATTCTCCCATCTTTAAGAGGTCCTTTGTAAACTGTCTCATAACCTCCTTGAACTAGAATTCCGCTTTCATCAAAGTTATTTGTGGCCTTCTCTAGTTCTTCAGCAGAAAAAATTTTAGTTGTTTCTGCAGATCCTTCGTGGTTGGATAGTTGTTGTTGCAACATCAAACCTCCATTTTGCATGAAGAACTTCTGTTTGAGTTTGATGAGCTTCCTTTTATTATATCCCCAGGACAGCCAAGTGCTAGATACAAGGAATAATGCAAGGCCTCCAATCTCTTGGCAAGTTAAAGAAATAAAAGTTATGAGAGTTGACAGAACATATTTTGATTAAAATGGGAAGTTAAAAGTTCAAAAAAAGAAAATATTAGTGTTTTGCAATGCAAATCACACCGGACTGCAAAATACTAGCCATTAGGTTATGTGAGGTCCTTGATATTAGAAGAAGGCCTCTCTATCCAATCCAAACTACGAAACACCATACTCTTAAAAGTGTTCCCAATTATAGGAAGTTAAAACAAAATTGTTCAGCGGACATTCTACTTTTAGTAATTGTTGGGTTGAAGTAAAACATATATTTAGAACAAGCTCAGGAGCTGATTTGATTACTTAAACAAAAATTAGGCAAAAAATAAAAATCTGAAGTTGAAATCAACAAAACTGCAAAAGTACGTTGGATATGACTACTTGGAGGTGGAATAAAATATGTGTACTTGCCTACAGGGACCAGAATTAGATTCCAGTCATGCTGCTGATTTGCAGTGCAACCTTGTTCACCATTTATTTCAACACGATGGTAACCTTTGAGGCACGAGCATGTACAACTTCCTACTGTATTGGAGCAGATCATATCTTTACAATCATTGTTATTAGGGTCTAAAGACTCATTTATGTCTGCAAAAAGAATAAAACCTATCAGAACAAGAACTACCATTTTGACTTGCGTGAAATACAACATATACAGCATGCGTATAAACGAATTACCTTGGCAACCACTAGGTGGGTATGGATTTCCTTTAAAACCTTTTAAGCAATTGCATTGGTATCCATAATCATCAACAGGAATGCAATAGCTATTTCCTTGGCATGCATTCGCTTTATTACCACATGTATGGTTGACATCCCAAATTGACCAATCAAGCACCAGAGGGAGTTTGCTAACATATTGCAATTCAAGAAGATAATTTGAAGAAAAGTTGAACTGACCTTCTTCCATGATGAAGCCACAGCCACAAGGGATGAACTTCCAAACTCTTGTATGATTTTTGCCGCCAGTCACTGTTACATTGATGTAGTTTGTTCCTTTGGGAATGGATGTCTGGCAACAGCCAATACCAGAACAAGTGTAATTGGTTACATAGTCAATGCTGTCACATTTGGTTATGCAACCTTCAATGTAGCTTTTATTCCCTTGGATACCTTGAACAGCTTCTACATATGCTATCGTACCACAGCCAACAGCAACAAACTTGTTGTCAGTGTCAGAGATAGTATAACCACATAAATCTACATGGAGCCAAGGATTGTCCCTGTCAGTTGATGCCCCAGACTTATCATAGCAATCATGGGCTATAAATTGTGTTATGTGTAGCTTCCCTTCAGGATCTATGTTGGTGACATTGATTGTACTATTAGCTAAAAATGCTAATGGGGGATCGAAAGTGTCTTCGCAAGTTATGAGAAAATTGTCATTATAGTAACATCCTTCTGTTGTACCTAATGGATATGTTGTACCTAATGGATATGGGATACTTACATTACCACACCTATCTTGACAACCAGAATAGGAGCTGGTTCTGCTACAATTGCTGCTAATGGTGCTGCAATAAGGATGACCAGCCAAAACCTTTCATGAATCCCCATGGCTGCTGCTTCTTGCTTTCTTTAGATTGAGCTTCCTTAAAAATCCAGATTCAAGTTCATAGAACAAAGAACTTCAGAAAGTTAGTTCTTTTATTCATAGACTTGTGGAAGACAAATTCAATATTGGATCTCAATATGAAAGTATTCTATTAATGTCTTGATGTGGCATGACTCTGAAGCAACTGTATATAAACTTCTGTTGAAAACTCTAATTCTAAACTGTGCTCAATATTTGTAAGTAGGAAGACCTACCATGTAATACTTAACTAATATGAAAAACCTTTTCTGCAGATCACATCAATGTATATATGGATGCATCATGAGTTCATAACTCAGCCAGACTTCTATCAGATACTAAAATAGTACCCACCATTAGCTACTAAACAGAAGAATATCTTGATATTCAAATTTTCAATTGGAAAAAAGTCAACTGGTGATTGCTTTTTAAAAACGCAGAAGTGCTTACTTCTATACTAATGGGTTTATGAAAATTAGAAATGTTCAACTATCTCTTAGAGCTTACACTTGAACATTTCAACAGTGATGCAATGCAATAACGTAAATGTTAAGTTTATTTATTGACAAGATTACAGAATCTGATGTGCAGCTTTGTTCAAAGTACCACTACCAACCAAGCTCACAGGTGATGAGCATTGAGCATACTCCCAGACCCAGTCCCAGCTAAAGTGGGTGAGTAATTCCGTTCTCCTGGAGAACAAGTCCCCCAAATGTGTGGTATCCTATTTTGACCATTTGTTTCCCAAAAGAAAAATATGGTACAAAGGCAAACACATACTATCCTGAATACCCACAGAAAAAAAAAAAGGCCAGAAAGATTCAAGACAGTTGTAGCCTCCGAAGTGTTAACATAAAACCCACAGACATATAAAATCAAACACCCAGTGATCAAAGCATTCCCAAACCCAAAAACAAATTCATAATCCAATCTTCTTTGGATAAACACATCTTTGGCACGCTATGGTACTCAAACTCAAAATGTTTTATTTTTACTGAGAAAAGATATCACTACATACTACTCAGATAATTGTTAGTATGATTCAAATTAGTTAAGAACTAGTTTTCCCTGCATTGTAAGCGTGAGGGCAGTTTCAACATCCCACATGGAAAAAATAGAAACCAAAAGACAATTAAAATATAATCGATGTTTACAAATACAAATCAATATTTTTGATTTTTTTGATTTTTTTGAACCAAATTATAAATTTAAAGAAAAAAAAAATTTTAAAGAATAAAAAAAAATGCTATTATCAAACAATATTATGATGTTCAGTTAAAAAATAATGCACACTCCATTTTTTAGATAAAAATAAAACAATCTAAGGAGATAAGAGGATTGTCAATGTCCTCCATGGCAGTATCTCCATCTTGCTCCGTCAAGGCTGCTGCCACGACAATTTCATCGATCTTGTTAGAAACTGAAAAAAATGAGAAATATCTGAAGAAAGGTTTATTGCTTTCTTGAATTATACTGTATGTACAATGACCTATATATAGGTGTTTACAAAGAGAATATTTTAAGGTATAAAGTATACAAAGAGAATATTCCAAAGCATAAAATATTTACAATAATTATATTCACATCTTAACATCCCCCCTCAAACTCAAGGTGGTTGTGATGAAATCAACTTGAGTTTGGAAAGAAGAGTACGAAAGCGTCCAGGAAAATGAGCCTTGGTAAAGAGATCTGCTGGTTGATCTGCGGAGCCAATGAAAACCAAATGAACAGTTCCTTGTGCAACATGATGGCGAATAAAGTGACAATCAACCTCAATGTGTTTAGTGCGTTCATGAAAGACATCATTATGAGCAATCTGCATAGCACTTTAATTATCACAATATAAATCAGTAGAAGAAGGTTGAGGAATACCCATATCTTCAAGAAGCCACCGCAATGAAAGAAGTTCTGATGTGGTATCCCCGAGAGCTCTATACTCAGCTTCTGTACTAGAGCGAGATGGAATAGCTTGTTTCTTACTCCGCCAAGAGATGAGAGAATTACCAAGGAAAAGACAGTAACCGGTGGTAGATCTACGATCAGAAGGATCACCAGCCCAATCAGCATCAGAGTAAGCGCGAAGCACAAGGGATGAGTTGGCAGAAAAATGGAGTCCATGAAATAATGTTCCCTTAACATAGCGAATAATGCGAAGTACTGCTGCATAATGAGTGGAGCGAGGAGCAGCCA